GGCGGGGAGGCGGCGGCGGCCGGGTGCTGCTCGGCCGGGAGCTCGCCGCTCTTCCACATCTTCTTGAACTTGGAGCGCCGGTTCTGGAACCAGATTTTGACCTTCGGGGGAGAAAAAGAGAAAGGAGGGAGAGGGGGCGCGTGAGCTTGAGCGCGGGGGCACGGGCGGGAGCGCGGCGCTGACCACTGAGCCCCCGGGCCGGCGCGGGCCGCAGAGTCCCGGCGGCGTTCGGGGGGCTGATGTGCGCGCTCTGACGGCGCGAGCCAAGGCCCGGGCGCTGGGGGGTTAGGAAGGTCGGGGCGCCGGGGTCGCGTGCGTCCCCGCGGCGGGTGGAGGGGTGGCCTTTCTGTCCACCCGGGTCCCCCTCCTCCTCCCTCCCGCGCCGCGGCCCCTTCAGGAATCGTTCCGTTCGTCTGTCCGTCCTGGCCGTTCGCGTTGCCCAAAGGCGCGGACGGACCAGCAGGCCGACTTTGGACCGGTGGCCCCCGCCTCCCGGCCGCCCTCCCGCCCGCGCCCAGCGCGCACCTGAGTCTGGGTGAGGCCCAGGGAGGCGGCCAGCTCGGCCCTCTCGGGCAGCGCCAGGTACTGGGTCTTCTGGAAGCGCCGCTGCAGGGCGGCCAGCTGGAAGCTGGAGTAGATGGTGCGCGGCTTGCGGACTTTCTTTGGCTTCCCGTTCACGATCCGGATTTCGGGCTCCAGGTCCTCCTTGTCTGCACCGAAAAGGAGCCGTGAGCGCCCGCCGTCCCGCCCGGGGGGCCCAGGGGGTCCCCGACCTCTCACCCCGGGCCCGGCCTGTGCCAACTTGGCCGGAGCCTGGAGGGGGAGGAGGCCCTGGAGAACTTTCAGCTCGGGCCACGAAAGCCCGCGGGAACCGGAGGGGGGGGGGACCCGCGCTCCACGGAGAGACGGGAGGCGGGCACGGCATGCCACCCAAGCGGGCAGCCCGCCGGGCCTGTCCCCGGGGCGCCTGGGGGGGGGGGGGGGGGGGGACAGGAACAGCGATTGGGCCGAGCTAAAGTTCAGGAGGAGGACGGGGAGGACGAGGCCCCGCGCGGTCCTCCCCCGCGCCTACCCGGGCCCTCCCCCGCGGCCAGGCCAGCCCCGGCCCGCCCCCCCTCCGGATGCCCGCGTCGCGCCTACCGGGCTCGTTGTGCACCGGGGACGGGCTGGTTCCGTAGGGCGCGTAGGAGGAGGAGTAGGCGGCGGTGTAGCCCAGGTCGTAGCCGCCCTTGGCGGGGTAGGGGACGCCGCCGAGGCCGCCGGCGTGGTACTGGTAGGAGCCCAAGTGCGCGTAGGGCGAGGCCCCCCCGCCGCCGCCGCCGCCGCCGCCGCCGCCGCCCGCCGGGTGCTGCTGCTGGTTGGTGTAGTAGCTGCTGTCGGTGGCCGTGGACACGGGCAGGGTGGGCGACTCCTGCGGCTTGTGCAGCCCGCCGCTGCCCCCGGGGCCGGCGCCCGCCCCGCTCGGCGGCGGCGGCTGCTGGTGGTAGGCGCTGGAGGCGGAGATCTGGGTGGAGTGCATGTCGGCCGCCAGGCTGTCGAAGACTCCGGTCATGCTGGGCCGGGCCGGGGGAAGCGCGCGGGAGCGGGCGGGCGCGGGGAGGGGCGGCGAGGGGCGAGGCGGCCCGTCCGCGCGTCCCCTCCTCCCCCCCGGGGGGACGCGATCAGGGCGCGCGGCTCGGCCCCGCGGCCGCCCGCCGCATCCTTTCCCCCGCGGCCTCCTGGACCTCTGGGCTCGCGGCCCGGGCTCGGGGCGGGGGGCGGGCGGCGGCGGAGGGGGGGCGGGCGGGAGGGCGGGCGGGAGCAGGTGAGCGACCCCCGAGCGGCTTTACGATTGTCTGGCGGCCGGGCTCCCGCAGGGTGGGCATTTAACGCCCGTCACGTGACCCGCGGCCGACGTCACCTAGCAACGGCCAATCGGAGGCGGCGGGCCGCGGGGCGCCGGGAGTCCGCGACCGGGCCGCCCCGGGGGGGACCCGGGTCACGTGGCGGCGGCGGCGGGAGGGTCCGCGCCGGACCGCGGCGGAGAGCGGGAGTCGAACCCGCAGCTCGGTGGGGTGCGGGGTCGAAGGCGTCCGGCCCCCCGGGAAGGAGCGGCGGCCCCCGCGTCTCTCTCCCCGCAGCTCCGAGCGGCTCCGTCCCTCCCGTCCGGGGTCACGGAAATCGAATAAAGCCAGGCACAGGGCCGAGCCAGCTTTGTCTCCTTTTCCTCCGGGCGTCTGGCTCTCCCTCTCCTCAGCCGCCCGGCACCTGACGACCATTGATTTAAACCATCCATAAACCGCGTGAAACAGTAATCCACACGCTCCCCAACCACCCCGCAGAGATATTACGCCAATTAATTGGATAATATTTAACGTTTTTCCTTATTGCCCGAGAGAAGAGCCCTCTGAGCCCAGAGGTATCATTACTGATAATGTGTTGGAAATCACTTCTCCTTCTACACAGAAAGCGCCGGAGCAAAGGATGACGCTCAGCTAGCGGATCGACCTCTTTGGGAAAGGTGGCCCAGACTACACAGCCTTCGAAGTCGTTTGAATCGGTGTTTTTACAAAAAAGGGAACGAAAAAAAAAAAAAAACCAAAAAACAAAACCAAACACCGACGCAGCGTCAGAGATTGTCCAGACTCAGCACCACACTTAGCAGGTTTTCTTGCTCTAACAAATACTAAAAGTTTCACTTCGCGCACTTTACCCCCGCTGGTGTGATTTCTCCGTCTGTAGCTTTTTTCTTTTAATTTTAATTATTAAATCAAAGTGGTGATTTCTCTTCCTGGTGGCTGGGAGTTTCAGTGGGAAGGCGACGGGCACGCGGCGGTGTTGGGCTCCCGAGTCCGACGATCCTGCCGCAGCGCCTGCTTTGTGGCGCCACCTGGTGGACAGCGTGCGAGGTTGCGAACAGGCCTGGTAGACGGTCTAATCACGCCCAGGCGCCAGGCTCTGAAACCCCCCAAAAGAACAAAATAGTAATTAAAAGCCACAAAATTGTGCTAGTGCGCGCCATCTGAAGCATCCCTTCCTAAAGACATAACATGTCACTGAAAGAACTTGTTACAACAACTGCCTAATGGAAAACAAGTTGATACTTTCAAAAATACGATCTTTGGTCTTCCCCAGAAAAAAAAAAAGCAAGTGTGTAATTAAAACTCCAGCATTCGCACAGCGGAATAATGAGGCAGGTAATGCGCCTTCCAGTCTGCCTGGATTTAGCTCTTAGCCACTTGGTTAAGGAAGGCCTGGAGATGTGGGAAAGAATGAGTTTGTTAGAACCGCTTCCCCCGGCGGAGCTCTCAGCACCGGCCTGCATTGACTTTAAACTGCTCCCTGCTGCTTTTGTGTGGCCAGTGCTGCCGCCGGGGTCTTAATCCAGATTGCCTTTTAGTGACCGACTTCAAATCCCTGCTCTGTCACCGCAGTGTAGCAGGTTTGCCCTAAGAAAAGAGAACAGTTCCTTGAGAGTCAAAATAGAAAATGTGACTGTCCTTTCTCTGCCCCTTTGTTGAGCCTCAAGCATGTCCTGCAAGTTTACGGGTGGTGAAACGTTTTCTGTTTTCATTTCTTCCCCAATCCTCAATGACAGGTTAAAGTCAGGTGAGATTTGAAGAAAAGAAAGAAAGAAAGAAAGAAAGAAAGAAAGAAAGAAAGAAAGAAAGAAAGAAAAGGCGTCATTCTGGGATAGATAGAACTGAGCCCCCTTTTATCTTGGGAACAAGATGAGGGCCCTGCAGGCAGCAGGGTGAATGCTCTAAGCCCTGAGAAAAGTAGAAATGGTGGGGAGGGGAGAAAGAGATATCTACAGTTGTCTTTCTAGGGGGGAAAAAAAAGAAGAAGGCCAGGCTTGAACTTTCCTGATAAACCAGACACAGATTTAGGTCTCGTTTCATTTGTTTGTTTTGTTTTCTTGAGACGCGCTCTCGGGATGCTAGCTAGTCTGGACAGTGCTTTGTAGCCTAACCTGGCTCCAAATTCACTGCCATCCCCCTGTCTACCTCTGAGTTCTGTGAGTGCTCTGCTTACCGGCCTGAACCCCTCCCCCTTCCGAAAAAAAAAAATGTGGGTTTGCCCAAAGTATTTGGTTGCTTTGTCAAAACAGCTAATGAATCTCCCTCCTTGGGTTTAAAGTCAAATACCCGAAAATATTGATTGATAGCGATGTTTTATGCTCTGATCCCGAGTTCTGAGGAGAACCGCTCTGCTCTCCTCAGATAGGAGGCCTGAAGAGGGAGTCCGGGGAATTTGGAGGGAAAACACTGGGTGCCTGAATGAGGCGGGTTGCTTCTCTGCCGTGCTGAGTCCTCTTTCCAGTCAGCTGTTATTCTTCGCTCCGGGGTTCTTTTACTCTGCCCGGATCTAGTGGAGGCGAGTTAGGTGTCTACACTTAGACTTTGTGTGTTTCAACACATCTCCGTTTGGAGCCGGTTCGCAAGGCTGAAGTGTGGGGCTCCGGGCTTGATCCACCCATTCCCAGGATCCTGGACTGAAGAAAAGCTTCTTCTGCGTCAGGTGCTGGCCCCCCTCCGGCTGCCAGCCCGCTGCCTTCTCTGTTGCACAAATCCCAGGGCTGGGTGCTGTGAGTCTCAGCTACCCAGGATCCTCCCAGCTGGAGAGGGCGGGTTCGCTCAAGGCCCTCAGCCTCCCGCCTCCCAGCCCGCCCCGCTTCCCTGGCCTTCTCTTGGCCCAGGATTTGCCCCTACCGGGTGTCGCCGCACTCCGCTGGGGGATGTGATCGGAAAAGCCCGCTCCTCCCAGGACTTCCGGGCTGGTCTGCGCTGTCCACGGCCGGCCTGACTCCGCACTCTCTGCCCGGGGTCCCAGGGTGTTGTTTTCCAGGCTGCGGACCCCGGGGGCGACGCTGCCGCCCCTGGGGGAGTCGTTCACACTCCCTCAAGGGCTGGGCCTGGTTAGTCCAGCTAGGCGGCGGGTTCTCGGGAGCATCCGTGCCTGTCCCTTCCTTGGCCTTCAGAGGTGCCTTGGGCCCAAGGCTCCCTACTGCTTCCCCGACCCCACGACGTGAGTCAGTGTCACCCTGGCCCTCCCCTGTCCTAGCTTTGTGTCCGGATCCGGGGGTTGCTAACAGCCAGTGCTTTTTTTTTTTGCTTAGGGACCGGAGTTGTGGCCTGAGGAAGGAAGCCTGCACCACACTCACACCTTGTCTGGTAGGGTGCCCCGGAAGGGACGTGGACGCCCCTAGGGTGGAACACCTCTGTAGCCCCAAGAACAGAGGTTTTCGCTCAGGACTCCAGCGGGAGCAGCCTCGGGTCACGTGGAAAGATTTCAGCTAGAAGCGAGAGTTCAAATCCGTGACCAAGAAAAGGCGGGAGGCAGCAGCTTTCAGAGGCCTTGTCCCCGCGGAGGTTCTGGCAGGGGTCCCCTCTGCCCCCCGCTTCCCAAGGCGCTGCAAGGAGAACGCTCTGACCCTTCCCAGCGCTGCGTAGCGGTTCAGCGCGCTTCTTGAACTTCCAGGCCCAATCACCGTTCTTTTCCCCAGTCCTATCTGGAGGTTAGGGTTCCTGGCCAGCAGGGTAGCACGGCGCTGGGCCAGCGTCCCCGAACAGCCCACCCGCGGGTGCGCCACTGTCAGTGAGCAGGCGACCCGCGAAATCTCCGTGGCTAACGGCCTGGTGCCCAGGCCAAGGGGATTAGCGCCGATGGAACGCTACAAACCTCTCACCGAGGGCTCCGGGTGCTCCCTGCTGGGAGGAGAGAGCTGTGCAAACAGCCCTCCAGGAGCCTAGTGCTCTAGCTGCAAAGAAAACAATTGCCCCCCGGAGAGCATCTCGCTCTCCCCCTGCTCTGGACACTCTCTGCTTCCTGCTCCCGCCCCTCAGCTGCAGCCCCGTTCTTGGGCCTGGGTGATCCGAGCCATCAAGCCGCCTCCTAGACCGAACGGTCAGCTTTAGCTCTGCTGGCAGGTTGTAACCCGCAGGGCAACTCTCGGGGTCAGAGCGGAGAGCCCCTTGCCTCACGCGCAGCTCCAATGGTCAGCACAGCCTACTTCTGCAACTTGAAATCAAGGTCTAGGAATCCAGTTAGGCTCCCGGAACCTTACAATCGTCTGGCGTCTGATGCACACGCACACAGATGCACACACACACACACACACACACACACACACACACACACACACACACACGGACACATACACACAACCCCCTCCCCCTCCCCACAGGCATCAAGCTGGGAGAACTTGGCAGAACTCAGAGCACCGTTTGGGCACATGAATCTCACCTTTCTCCCATCCTGCTCCTCAACTAGAGAGTCCTATCACTGAGCTTTGGTGCAAGGCGAGATGCTAACCCGTAGGAGCTGGAGAATGGGACTTCGTTGGCTTGAACTATTGAGGTGACTGTGGGTGCTCTCCCGTTCTCCCGCGGAATGAAGCTTCTGGAACTGTTGCTGTGCAAACTCCCCCCCTCCCCCAAGGCCTTCTCTGCTCTGACGGAGCAAGGTCATTGTCCCGTTTTGTTTTGTTTTGTTTCCTCAACCAGGAGTAAGCCAGCCTTCTGCTAGAAGTGTGAGAGGGAGGACAGGGGCAGTGGACTAGAGCTCACCTTG